GCTGCGCCTGCCACGAAATCTGCACTTCGAGGTTCACAGAATGCTGCGCCTGCCACGAAATCTGCACATCGAGGCTCACAAAATGCTGCGCCTGCCACAAAATCTGCACATCCAGGGTCACAGAGTGCTGTGCCTGCCACGAAATCTGCAAACGAGCCACATATCAAAAAGTCACGATTCCCTGCACCTGTCACGAAATCTGAGCTCCTCGACGATCACCACCATGTCCAAAGTGCTGCACCTGCCACGAAAACTGCATTTCGAAGTAAAACAGCTCCGATAAAAAATCGACTTTGGAGTACCAAAACACGCGGTTTTCCTTGCGCCTGTCACGAAAAGTGACCACCATGTACCAAAATGCGCACGGCACCACAACGAGAGCGCAGTCGCCAGAAGCACCCGCCTCGGCCACCCAGATTCTGCGAGCCTGTGCAGTCGAAGTGCACATTGACGATATCGAGAACCATGAATTATATTGTAAATAGCTGCGAATTGGCCGGTCATGCCCGCGCGCTTCAGCGATCTAAGCATCAGCTGCCTTTCCCTTACCGTAAGAAAGAACCCCTCAGTGTGCCCACACTGTTTGGGGAAAAAATCAAAACAAGAAATTCCAAAAGTCAAAGTCAAAAAACAAATCAAATCAGAAAGTTTGAGAAAGTCAAAAAAACAGTGATCAGTTTGCCCAGATCCGTTTATTTATTTATGTTTTTCCGAATATTGACGTTTTTGTTGTTGTTTTGACATTTTTCGACCTTTTTGTCTGTTTTTTCAATTGATGTTTATGCTTTTGTTGACTGTTTCGAGCGGTTTTCTAATGTTGATTGTTGTGACCTTAATTGACTTTTATTTGTTGAAAACAGGCTCTCTCCAATGAAAGAGCTTTTGTAAGTTTAAACGAAACAAACACATGTCAAATCAGTAATTATCCTTCTCATCCGTCCCCAAACATATGTCGCCCCAAACCTCCCCTGCCCACAAACAGTGGCTGATGGAGTCGGTGTGGAGATTTTTTCAAAAAACTTTGAGTCGAAACGTCTTCTTTGAGTCGAAACACAGCAGGCAAGCCCGCTGGTGAGACGAAACGGAGAGTCGAAATGAACGTACCGTAAGAGTCAGGCTGTGAGGGGTTTGGCTGATTGGCTGAAGGAAAGAAATCTACAAAAACACAACAGCAGGGCACAAATCTGGTGAGTGCTTGCAAGCTGAACAAATGTCTGGCTAAGCGTGCAAACCCAATTATAGCAAACCTCCCTATAAATCAAAGATGCCCTCGAGTACAAACTAAAGTAAACACCATTTCCCAGCCTACCCCTCCTGCAGCCTCTAACCTAGCGGATCTCTCCAACGTTTGTCCGACTCCGACTCATCCACCACCGTTCAGAGGCCCCCAGGGCGATGGGTTGGGGTACTGCCAATAGCCCCAGGGCGATGGCGCGCCCCACGGCGATCGGCCGCCTGCGCGTCGACGCACTCGCGAGCCGGGTGCCCGAACACGAGCTCAGGCGGAGCTGAGCGAGTGGATGCACGAGCTAGGGCGAAGCGCCCCGATAGGGTCATGTTGTTTCAATGGAAAAGAGAACTATCCGGGACCTATAGATCCTACCAGGTGAATCAAAAGGGCGTCTAATGATTTTTGATGCTCACCTATCTGCAAGGGGCGTCTAATGAGCACCCCTTTCCTTAGGCTTAAGGGGTGACCAATGAGCACCCCTTGGTTTCCTCACATTTTGACCACTGACACGGAATGACACGGATTGACACGCAGGCGGCTGACGTCTCCAGCGACCCGAATCCCAAATCCTGTCCATTCACAAGTATCCCTTAAAAAGTTGTGATTTTATACGAGGATCCCTCAAAAGCACTTGTCAAACACTAAGGATTTCTAAGGGGTGTCCAATGGTTCTTAGCTTAAGGGGCGTCCAATGGACACGGTTTTGATCTACCTGGTATAGATCCTATAGATCCGGTGTAGAGCAAAACAAACGCCGATACACCGGTGCGCGACACTACACCGGCGTTTGGCGCGCGATCCACCGGTCACCGGGACGGGTCGTCTTCGGGTTCGATCCGTGAACGACGCGATGGAGGGCTACTCGGGGCCCATAACCGCCGCTGTCAGAGTCAGGTAGGGGTTGCCTAAAACAAAGCAGGAAAGACAAACCAAACCAAACCGTTGTTTAATCCTGTTTAATCAAACCAAACTTAAAGAAAACCAAACCGTTACCCGAGCCCGGTCTGTCTAGTCAAGTCACCGACACAGGTGCTCGGCGGCTGTCTCATCGCGGCCGCGGCCCACAGCTGTTCGGAATACAAGGGATCCTCTGAGTCAAGCACCGACTCCAACAAGAGCCCACGTCGACGTGAGAAGCATGTTCATGTTAGTTTTGGATGGTATTTAGAGAGGGTAGTTCATGTTCAAAATGCTACCGCCTTGCTTTTGTCATGTCTAACCATGTTGAAGCACACTCTTAGCTTGATCAAGTATGCTTTTCAATGACCACCACCGCACGTCAGGTCAGCGTCAGACGCTGGCTCCTCTGTGAACATTAGAAGGGTGTTGACTGTAAAAAGGGATACCTTGAGTCTATCCTATTACCTGTAACAGTGGATGATGATGGTTAGTAGAGGCCTTGTTCAAACTTCGTAATTTGCTTGTGAAACCTGACTGTTGCAGGTCAGTTCGGACTGACTCCAAAAAGGGATGCCGTTCAACCACACCTTGCCCAGTCCTTGAGCTGAAGGCTCGTCAGATCGGCACCGGCGTTGCCCCGCTGTCCGTCGCCGTCGCCGTCGCGGGAAGACACGCCTGCCGCACGACGCGTCGTGAAAAACGCGGCGAAGGTCGTCCGCAGCAGACGCGGCGGAGAGTGGAGGATATCCGTTGTTGCACTGCGATATTCACAGATTCACAGGTCTTGTAGTGGATTCACTTTTAATGCATTTTTCCAGATGTGCTGGGAGTAGCCTAGGCCTTCATCACACATGTCTCTAGGTCGATATGGGCGAAACAAGCCACACACTACGCTAGCTTGGAAGGGTCTGAAAGGGCTGAACTGTGTCTCACTGCTGCGCAATCTGGTCCTTTAGTTCCGGTTTCTTGACCAAACACCATGCCTGGATCATCCATCTCGGCCAACTGCAGTAGCCTTGGATATCCGACCATTCTCCGACATCTGACACCCAATTGGAGCCTCCACCCTCTATAGGGTCTCAAACATTCCCTTGGGCTCTTCTTTACATTTCTTTATGACCTGCAGCCACCTACAAGTGGCCCCTTAATTCAGGGACCGCACTTCTCATCGTGTCAGGTATATGGCAAAAGGCTTCTGAGTTCCTTGAATTCTTGAATGGGTATCGCTGTATCACCTCTATAACGAACATGGCCATGGTATCTCCATGGTATCTCCTCTCCGTCGACTGGATCAGTCTCACAAATCCATGCCATGAGAATGCCACCCCAAAACCGGCACCCGAAACCGCCGTCCATGCAGGACCGACTCGATCTCATTCGACCCACGTTCTGCCTGAAACCGTGGTCGCAGTGGTCGCATGTCGTCGCCGCACTGAAGAACCCCGAAACCGCAGCTGCATGTCTCAGCACCACCGTACACCAGCCTTACCGCCTCGAAGACAATTTTGGTTCGCCCGACATCGGGCGCAGCCTCACCGGAATAACGCTGCAAACCCGCCCCACCGCGCCCGCCCGTTGGCGGCGTTCGCTTCGTCCGTCCAGGGCGCTGCCTGACCTGCGGCCCTTTCGCATGCTCCAGGACTCTTCGGTTTCGTCGGTCGCTGCGGTGCACCTCCGCGCGGGCCTGCCATGCTGCTGTTTCGTGGCTGTTTCTTCTCCCAAAAAGACATAGCCTCTGACACCTTCTGACACTGGGTCAAGTGATCTACGTTTCTGCACCGTGTTTTCACACAAGATGTTGGACGCAAAGATCTTGGGATATCTTGGGTATCATTGTGAACATAGTTTGGGTCAAAGGTTCTTGATATGCCTCCTTCGGACAAAACAAATACAGGTCCGAAGTTTCAAACATGAACATAGACGATCATGGAAGTATGAGGCTCCACTTAATGAAGCTGCGTCGAAAATCATCGAAACCTTGATATCTATTCTGTGTCTTTCTGATGTGAGGAGACTTCTGCCTTCTGTGGCTACATGGCTCCATCCATTGATCTGCGAACCATGTGACACAACCATGTGACACAACCATGTGACACGACCACCATGGGTCCTGTGAACGTGCCATTTGATGCTCAAACTCCACGTTTGACGGGATCTTGCTGGATTCTACTTCGCAACTTCGCAAGCCCGGCGAACACCCAGAGAGTGTCTCCGGCAGAGCAACTCGCACGGGGAGAGTCACCTGCAACAGCAGCTGGCAATGGGCGACAGAGCCTCTTTGAGCTGCAACCATCAGTGGTGTCTCCTGCGCTGCGCTTTTGGGCAGAAGCGGCGCAGCAGAAAGAGATTTCACAGGTGGGAAAAAACAAAACACCTGTCACTGTATGAGGAGTCTATGACAAATATTTATATGTTTTTGGGTTAGCTGCTTGCAAAGTACCCTGATTGTCCATCTACAGCTCAACAAGTCTAGCTCCACTAGCACTCGATCTCTTATACCACCTCATGACGCCTAGCAGGTGAGTGAACAACGTAGAGTAAACTCTGAGTGGCCGAAACTGCCTATCTTGTGATTGATCCCCCATCCCAGCCATCGGGTGTATTGGTGAACCCAAAAGGCCATTAGCGCGAGTTCACCCCATAAACGGGGCACAGCGAGCTTGCTCTGCGTGAACTTCCCGAAGCCGCAGCGGAGTGGCAGGAGCGGAATGAGCGGACACAAAAAAGCTCTGGAATGACTCATTCGTAAACATACATATATGTAAACATGCAGTTTGAATCACTTCAACTGAAAGATTGCATTTCATTGGGCAGTCCACTATGCGAGAATCACAGCAATCTTCTGACAACATGATTAGTGTTGATAACATGTTGAAAGGAACTAATCCGTGCTCTCGCAGGGCTTGCAACCCTGCACCCCGGTTTATCTCAGTGTTTCCCATCCCGATGGCTCTCCATCCAATCACCCCATCTCACCCCCCGCAGTGAAAAGATTGACCGCGCAGGATTCATCGCGTGAAAGACCATGCGTCGCCTGCGTGATGGGCAAGGCGTCCACCGTCGCTTGTGCGCCCAGAAGCAGCTGAATACACTCGCTGCCTGCGCGCTTCGGCTCTCCGCGTGCTTCGGGCTCTGCGCCGCGTGATCAGCACGCGGACGAAGCAAGGCAGGTAGAGGCAAAGGGATGACTCGAATCAACATCATCTGATTTGTGGATGCAATTTCTGAAGAGTGGTACAATCCCTCGGATTCCGACGGAGCTTCGGAGTTGGACACCCTGTTTGTTCACAAAGTCAGTAGACCTAATTCAGGGTACATCAGAGTAGAATTTGGGACAAGCCCATGAATGAAATGACAGAAACCCTAAAAAACCGCCACGGAAGGGCCGCATGGCCTTCATTGATCCAACGAGGGTGGGAGATCCAGTCCTAGTTGGCACAGTATCCATCCAACAAGTCTATATTGAGCCTAATGTAGAAAACTAATAAAAACTTTTATATGACTTTGCTCAGTGAGATTTTGTATAATTAGCAAAGAAAATAGACACAAAACAAAAAAATATACACATTATAGGACCATCATTTTATAAGTCTATGCAACACAACTAGGATCCCTTCCAGATCTCTCCCCTGATCTCTCCGCCCGGACTCTCGTCCCCCCGGACTATCCGCGCCAAGGCGCGTTGCTGCTCGGTGCCCTTGACGCCTTTGGCGGCCAACCAGAGCGGCGTGGCACCGCTGCCATCGCGCTCCTGGCCACGGCAAACGACCCGAGGGGATATACATCCCGGTAAACAGGGCACCCGGCTGGAAGGTGCCAGGTCTTAAACCTATGCAACGTTGGAAGTGCTAGCTGCTAGCTATACACATACTTACCTGCTAAGACGTTCGTCTTTTTCCGAACGTAAGGATGGGAAACGAGTGGGTCACAAGGATCTCCGACCGGTCGCACCGGTCGCGGGATCGGTCCGACACAACACGTTTATGAGTAACATGTTAACACGAATTGTTAAACACTCATTTGGACACATCCATTGTCACTAATGGATGTGTTCAAATGAGTGTGACTGTCAAAAAAAATATGAGGTAGTGATGGGTACAGTATGGTACAGGCTTTGTGAGTAAAGCCACTGAGCTGCGCGGTGTTCGCCTCCACATCTGCACCTTCCTGCAGCCACTGGCGCAGCGTGTCGGGCAGCGCCAGCTCCGCTGAACCTAAGGGCGGAGCGAGTTCCCTCAGTGACGTCCGAAGTCTTAAAATATGTGCAAAGATGTGGGATGAGTGTTGTCATCATCACCTCTATAGGCATACCTGGGGCATACCTTGCAGTTGATATCCCTTCGAGTTGCCTGGCAAGTCTTTAAGATACACCTCCTGCAAAATCTGCTAGTTCCCAAGCCTTTAGAACTTTAGGACTTGGAGTTCACCCCAAACCCCCAAATCCAAACATTCACCTTGAAAGCGAGTACGCCTCTCGCTTGACTCCACACCGTATCGCGCGAGGGGTGCGATACGCGCGCCAAAGCGCGATACGGTGTGCACTTGCGTCTACCGAGAACCATCGGACGTCCGTTGCCGGGCTTCTGGTCAAGAGGCGTTGGATGGAATGTCTTCCACCGATGCTCCGTAGCAGCTGAGCACAGGCCTCGTGGCCCTTGGCCTCTGCCGCGTCCAAGGCAGTGCCGCCGTGCCTAGGACGCAAGAGGATGTTTCGGCGCATCGGGTGGTTATGTTGCCATGGAGCTGATCCTGTTTTTTTTGTTTCCGTCTTCTTGAGTCATTGGAGGTGATATGAGGTGATGCTGATGTGAAAAAAACGTGTGATACATCGAAGATGGTCATTGGATGGGACCCGGTGGATGGTGATTGGAGATGTGACGCTGAGCGAGAAGAAGGACCATTCATTCGTCCAATCCCTAGGGATCCAGTCGTACCGAACCTCAGGTATGGTGAGTTGTCTATCTGTTCTTGAGACCGCCCAGTCGTTGGATCGGAGCGTTTGCACTTGGAATGTCACTGCATAAGTCACGACCTTCTGACCTTGTGGGTCTCGCAAAGCCGGTCTGAGGGTATGAGATTCCTGTCAGTAAGAAACAAACAAAGCAAACACGAAACAAAACACCCTTCCACTACACTTTGGATATGCCAAACACGCATGAGAAATGCAACACTGTGAGATGATTCTTTATGGATTCCGTGAGAGGAATCTGTCATTGCACAGAAAATCCAATCAAATCGAGAAGCTGGAAAAACACAAAAACAAACAGGTCATACAACATATGTATATATATAACCATTATAATAGGGCATTATATGACACAACAGGTGTAACAACTAACAGGTCATAGAACTATACTATTCATGGACAGTTGTTACCCAACCCGGCCTCACCAGGCCAACCCAAGTGCCAACAGTTGAGCGGCTTGGAGGGCCGCGCATTGGGTGAGGCCCAACAGTTGGAGCGAACACGGCCAGTGGAATCCAGCAGCAAAAGCTCCAAGCACTTCAAGTTGCCTCACCAGCACCAGCGGAGGCATGGTGTCTGAGTTCACTTCAGGTGGCTGTGCTCTGATTTTTACAACCGCTTTCTTGTCTCCTTGAAGCTGGGTCTTCTTTTTTCGCTTGCCCAATGGTGTAAAGTGAGCCGTTTTTTTCAGGAGACGTGACGTCCGAACCAGCAATCAACTGAGCTGGGACCTGCCTGTGGACGCTGCCTCATGGAGTAAGGCATTGGCGGCTCCTGGGGCCAGGAGCAAGCGAAGCATAGCGGTTCTTTTTCCAAAAAAAATCATGGATGGCATGCAAGGTACAGTTCTGTCCCTCATATCGAGAAAACTTAATATATATATATATACATCTATAGAATATTATATACTTATAGAATTGATTCTTTTACATTGTAGACTTTTGATTCATCTCACCCCCCCGCCCTTCCAGGGTCTGTCTACCCAGAAGTCCGAGGGCGACCGGACCCATCGTCCCGGACCCGACTTCACCGGTCACCTGGATTCAGCACTGCACCCTGACTCCGCAAGAGCTCCGCGACCCCGCGGCAGCCTACGTGGCGGTGGAATCCGAAATAGGTGGGTCACGATCGAGGGGATGACCAAACTGGATGGAACATGCTTTGGTTTGCTGGAATCTCATTTCTGCCTACACCAAAAAGTCTATATCTTGTTCATGATCATCAAGAATCATCATGAATCCATAAATATACGATATATATATATATAACTATATATATATATAATATGAAACCACTAGACTGCGGAACCAATGGCCCAAGAACACAGGCTTGACTCAGCGAACACATCTCTATCTCTCTCTTTGTGGTTTTCACCCAGAGCTGACGTGGAGAGGGGATTCAACATCATCCATAGTTCCCTCAACATGAATTCTTCATTGGAAACAGGTCGAAAGGATCTTTTTCTCTGGACAAAGCATGTTCGGTTGACAGCTCAGCCAGCAGGCAGTCTTTGTTTTCAAATCTGGGCATTGAACACCTGCATGATAAGAAGTGTCCTCGTAGCATCTTGCAATTCGGCGGTGTCCACACTCCACACTATTATTTACTGCACCCAGACACTCCGTGGGACTGCCATATTTACATACATTGACCCGTGAAACCACCCCAACGGCAGTCCGGACTGGCAGTCCGGACTGGCAGTCCCAGACGGGTCGTGTCTGGGGCATATCACTTGCATGGTCTTCCCCTCATGACCCAGACCCGAACCTTCTCCCAGTCCCGAATCTGGAGACGCTCGGTGAAAGGACCGGGGACGAAATCGAGGTCCGACCGGGTCCGACCAGTGGTTTGGTCGCGGGCGAGACTCTCCGGGAGTTCAAGACTGGAGACTCTCCAACCCCCTCCAGGGGCGACCCTCCCATCACATGCAGAGAACAGAAAAAGAAACACCACTGCAAACACGAGGAGCCTTTCTTCACTGCCAAGGTCATTGGTTTTCCTGGCTTAAACGACAACGTCTGCTGATGGAGCATGGCTGCTACAAGTCTGACCAGTCTTACCAATTGTGGAACAGTGGATAGGTCAAAACAAAGATCACCAACAAAGTATGGGAGCTGCAATAGATGCCACTCTTGTGTTGTTGTTCCTTCTTGCATCACCTGTCTTTGTAATATATGGTCATCCAGTGCCACCTGAAACTAACCTCACCACACACCTGTGTGTTGCATGATGTGTACGATCCATCGCCAATTGAAACAATCTCCCTGGTCCTTCAGGTGTGGCGGCATTCGCTTGTTCCGGGCGCAGGTGCAGCAATGCCCAGGCCCGGTCGAGTGCCAAGAAGGCTTCCTGGGCGCGGGAACCGCGCTGCAGGCAAGTGGGTCGGACAGATGTTTTGAGGGGATCGGACGTGTTTCGTCCGAACTGCACACATGGCTCTGGCAATATTCTATTCAGAAAGTCAGACGTTTATGGGATTTATTCGGAGATGTATATAGAACCTGCTCCGTGCCCCCCAAGAAGACTGCCCAGGCATCAAATGTTGCTCCACCTGCAGCACTTAAATCCTCCCCAATTAAAACAGCAAGTCGTGTTTTTCGCAGTGCAAGAACGGAATTCTTCAGGGAACCAGAATGTTCAAGCTTTCAAGAACCAGAATCTACTGGGACTGTTCAGCAGAAAGAACCAGAATGTACTGGGGGAATGTGTTGATCAACCTATGACGCTCTGCACGCTGATAGAGCGCCGAAGGCACCGGGCCACCGCGGCGAGGAGCGAACGCTGGATTTGGGAGGTGAAGTTTGGTATCAATTGGACCACACACATGGCTCTGACTGGACATTTGGATCCAAACCGGCAGACTTCAGTTGACCAGTGACCAAATGAAGGGCGGATGAACAGGATGGCTCCTGGAGGTCCAGTATCAGCCAGGGTACACTCGAGCGGAGCTGTGCGACAAGATGACCTGTGCAAGAGGACTCCGTGATTTCTTTGCTAAGAAAGCTTCTCTTCATCTCTCTTCTTGTTCTTCACACCCTTTGACCTTGCCAATCCCTCATCCTCTGCTCCCCCAGTGCCAATTCCATGTTCTCTTCTCAGGTCATCCGGAATCCCATGTTCATAAGTCACCAGAAAATCCTTTAGAGCATTCTCTAAGTCTATGAACATCCTATCCAAACAACGACGATTACTGTTGTACCCCCGGTTTTGGGTGCTCTCCCCCCATGGTCACCCGCTGTTCATACCCCCCAATTCCTTTGCTCACTCCCAGTACCTGAGAAGCCGCAAAACGAAAGCCAGCGCTTCCCTTTCTCGACAACTGCGCGTCGAAGCAATCAAATGAGCTCGCGCAGCCGCTTGCGGCCGCGTGTCAAATCTGCTTCATGTCTTGTTCTGCCCACACATAGGTAACCATGCAAAGGCAAAAAATGCATTCTTTCATCACCACCCGCTCCAAAATCACCAAAATATCACCTCCAAGAGTTTACGTATACCTTTCTCGGGCCACCCGCCCGCCGACCCCCGACCGACTTCACACATAGACAGTTCCCATCCACATTCAGATGAAGCAAAAGCCAAACAATGCACCAAAATTCGAGGTGGCCTGGGACCAGAGGCTCGCTGCCCGAAACAATATGTTCAGGCCACCTCAGAAATGAAGATATGCGAAGCAAGGGTCCTGAGGTGTCTCTGTGACAAGGCTTTTGTTAAAACAGACAGTTTTTCAAGCTAAATTCAATGTGGCCTGAGACCAGGGTTTGCTGCCCTAAAACACTCTGTTCAGGCCACCTTAAAAATGAAGGTCTGCGAAGCGAGAGCAGAGGATGCACATTGTCCTTCTGCTGCTTGAATGTGGCCTTTTGTTTATTTAAAAGTTCAAGGCCTCCCAGCTGTTTCCACCTCTTCGCTTCCCAGTCTTCCCAGGGTTCATCTAGGGAGCCAGGCCATTTTCAGAATCTTCTGGATTGAGCTGTTCGAGTTCCTATTGAAGGGTATAGTTGGCGAGTGCGTCACCACCCGCTTCAAAAGCATCAAAGCATCACCCCCCAGAGTTTACGTATATCTTTCTCGAGCCACACATGCACAGCAAACCACAGCTTTGAAGTCTCATTCGTGCTTTGAACTTGCATAGGTGTGTAAGAGGTATAGCAACATAGCATTTATACGGACCCAGGGTAGCTACAATTCTGTTCCCAGGTATCGTGCGCGAGGCTTCAAAGCTGTGGTTTTCAAGCTAAATTCAAGGTGGCCTGAGACCAGGGTTTGCTGCCCTAAAACACTCTGTTCAGGCCACCTTAAAAATGAAGGTCTGCGAAGCGAGAGCAAAGGATGCACATTGCGGGTTCATATAGGGAGCCAGGCCATTTTCAGAATCTTCTGGATTTGAGCTGTTCGAGTTCCTATTGAAGGGTATATGTT